CTTTTGCTCTTTTCCATATTGACAGCTTTGCCAGAATAAATCTTCACTGCTCAGCCAGACTAGAAGGCATCCTGCAAGCAAGGTTATTGTCCTTTTTTGGCCAGGTATGCATAGCCCAGATTGCTAAATCCTGACCAATGGGTCAGGCTGTTTTCACATCTCTTATTCTGTATTATCAAAATGTCTCTTTGAGTATATCTACCTGTATGCTAAAAAACAAATCTTCATGTGTCAGGATGCTTGTACTTGGTATCAAATACGTACAACATTATCTCCTCTCAGTCCAGATAATTTAAAAGAATCTTTCCAAGATTCCCTGAGTAACTTAAATCTAGGCAGAATAAAAAATAATACAAAAGATATAAAAGGCAATAAACCTGTAGCTCATTGTAGCCCACGGTGTGCTCCCTAACACTTGTTGTTTTGAAATTACTTCTGTCACAGTGGCAAGCAAGAGTCTGTGCTTTCATCTGGAAACAAAGACTGAATTATTGTCTCTGATGTCAAGGGAATGTTTTAATTTCTTGTGTTACTGTCACTTGAAAGTATGTCCCCTAGCCTACAGATGGAGAGGAAGGGCTGGGGTTACACACTCTCTTGTGTTCCCCACGGAGTTTTGTACCTGCTCCCTGTCTGAAACTCATCACTGTGGTTCTCGCAAATAAAGCATGATTTTAAAAATACAGGCACTGGGTTCAGCCATTCAATTACAGACCTCATTGTGTGTCTCTTGAAAATGTTCCTTATAAGGGCTATTTCTTTGGAAAAGTATATTTTTCCATGCAATATTTGCTTCTAAAGAAGTGTCTTCATCCACTCAGCACAAACTGGGAGATGTCAGTTTCATTATGTCCCATCACTTCTTCAAACTATCACTGGAGAAAGGATGGGATTTTCACTAAGATTTTAGCTGAGCAGAGAATGGGATGTAGAGAAGCTGAGATGGCTGAAAATGTCTAGCAGTAATGTTAAGGACCCAATTATCAATTCTATGCATATATCCACACTAAAACATGTAAGTAGATTCTGAACTAACAGAAGTCAAGGGTTCATAGCCCATTCTTGTGTATTTATAGTAGCATGTAACCAGTATGAAATTTAAATGCAACCCTTCACACAACTATATAATATCTATATATATTCTGTTTTTAAAGACATCAGGTTTACTGAGTCTCCCTTGCCTTTCCTCTGACACATACCTTGCAGTCCCAATTAAAAAGAGGATTGATTGTGAAGTTTCTCTGGATGTCACTTGCTTTCTTTCATCTCTGTGTTGAAAAAAATGTACACATCTGAGGCTGAACACTCTCAATCTGGTCTGCAGCTTTGGACTATGAAGCAATTTGGGGTTAATATTTTTGTTGCAGGGTATTTTTCCCACTGTGGAGGCTTAGATTTCCTTAAAACCCAAATCCACAGCTCCACAACATTTATCTCTATTTTTCAATGAGCAGGAGTAAGTCAGTGAGGGCTGGCCTCTATCCTGGACTTCTCTGTGGTCTGTAAATTTCAATAGAGATGAAAACACCAGCAGCTTGAAGGGTCAGAAAATAACAGAGTGAATAGCAAGATGCCAAAATGAGATGGCTTTCACTGTTACCAGCTGCAAAGAAAGAACAAAGATTCATTAACCTGGTTCACCAGTTTGGGAGCTGGCTGACAATGCATTTACATACAGCCCAGTCCAGCCCAATGCTATAGCATAGCTTGGCCTCCTTAAAATAGAGATCAGTATTATCTGTAAAGTCATTTTATAATAACACATGCACCACAGCAAATGTTCTCAGGTTGTATAAGAAAACCTTATATAAGAACACCTGATACTAAGAAGCATCTTCTTACTCAATATAGGCACAGAGCCTCTTTACCTGTTCATTGACACCTCACAAGTAGCTGGGTAAGCATAGGTAGCAATGTACTGACACCTCAAAAGTTGCCCCAGGAGGCTGGAGAGCCCCATCTCTCCCAGCAGAGGACAGCACACAGACGACAACAGATCAACAAATGGGCAAATTCAAAGTGCTCACAGCTCCTGGTGTTTTGCTACAGTTGTGTGCTCACCAACAAATATATCCTCCTTGTCCTCTACAGGTGTTTTCCCATAAAAAAACTCTTGCTGTAACAGGGCTCAGAAAACAGAGATCACACTCCTTTGTCTTCCCAAACTAATGGTCAAAGTGAGAAATAACAGGAAAGTCAGAAGCCAAAACTTTATGCAAATGTGATCTGTGGAATTCAAGGAATTCAACGCCACAGGACATCAACAAACTGAAATATTGCAGATAGTTCCACTGCTTACAAAACATACAGGCACAAGCTCATCAGAATTCATGCCACACAAGCTAAAATCTAAGGGATGAGAAAATGAGCTTCTTTTCTCTTCTGTAGTGTGGTGACTGGTGCAGTTCTGGGCACACAAGTGCTGAAGCACTGCAGTGGTCACCTTCCAGATGTTCCCAGGTCTGTGGTGTGAGCAGGCACAGAAGTTCCTGCTGCTGTGACCCACAGCTCTCCAGAGACATGTCTTTGATATAAACTGTGAACTTCAAATGCTTGTTCCTAAAACTTTGCTTTCACTTCCACTGTGTTCCATTCATGTATTTTGCCAGTACACTGAGGATTGTACTGCACATCTCTAATGGGTTTTTTCTGCTTTGGAGCATGTCTTTTAACCAAAGTACATGAAAGTTACATTCTAATTAATAGATTATGAACCACTAATGCAATTATCAGTTTAAGAAAAAAAAAACTTTTTTTTAAGTTACTAATCCATGCGTATGTACCATTTGAAACAACAGTATAATTTCCTTTATATTTTAAAAATTAATTAGAACTTCACTTTTCCAGTTCTTACTGATTAAAAAAAATCCCACAGATCAAAAATGGGGAAAATAAAGATATTAAAACATTTTTATTGCCTCCAAGGAACTGTAATTTTAGATAATGTTATTCTCCTAAACCTTAAGTCGTACTAATTTTTTTCTCTCTACTTCCGTATTATTCTCCTCAGGCACAGATCATGCATTTCCCCCATTTTATGCTTCTGCTTGATTTTTCCAAGGGACTGGTTTGTTCAGCAGCAAGCAGGCTGCCTGCTTCTGCAATTTAACTTCTTTATTCCCCTCATCCCCCATTCTCTTTTGTGGATCTAAAGGACACATCTAAGGTGAGCTGAGACACTGTTCATAAGATCTTTCTGTCCACCCCCACCCCAATAACAATAATCACAGACAAGGTGTCCTTGTTCTTTCCTTGCTACCAGAACATTCAAGATTGACAACTCTATACAGAGTTTCTCATTTAATCATACATGTTCTGGTGGAAATTATTACCTTTATTGCAAAGCTGTGTATAGATAGAATTAAATGCTCTTCTTTGCAATAAAGAATGTGCTCTTCTGTAAAATAATTACTCCATTATCAGATCTGCTGTAAGTATTTTGCAGTTGCTAGTAATTTTTTCTCATTCTATGAGGATTATAAAGAGAACCTGAATTTCCAAAGTACAGGATTTAAGACTATCAATTATTTCCTCCATGGCTCCCTCCCTTTCCAAAAGAAAATAATCTCCTCTGAAGAAGGTGCCATTCTTGTGACAACAGAAGGATTGCAATATCACACTCACAATGAGAATGTTAGACCTGATTCAAAGTCCAAAAATTCGAACTACATGAAAAGTGTCCTATTAACATCAATGAGCTGTTCATCAGCTCTGCTGAACAAAAGCTTCCCCTCACTTCAGGTCCTGCTGATAGCTGTCAGGCCCTTGAAAGTTTTTCCATCCTGGTTCCAGCTACATCAGCCCCCCCCAGTAAGATTTATGCAGGTTTTCTGCCCATCTTCACTGGTTAGGTATATTCAAGTCCTCTTTCCTTGCATCAGAAACATGTTTTATACAGTTTAACTTTTAAAATCTTATGAAAATTACAAGCATTATGGAGACTGTGGCAGCAGTAATAACCAAACAAAGTCATAGCCCTTTTAAGACACATAAATCTTTGAAACCAAAGAGTTTCCTCCATGCCTTGCAATACATGTGATAGTAAAACTTGAAAGAAATTACTGTTGTATAATTATCATTTCCTGAAAAAAAAAACATAAAATAACTTACAATTGTGAATGTTAGGTGTGGCTGAACACATTTACGCCTTCAGAAACATCAGGAAGTTCTTTTTATTCTATAAACACTCTTGAGAACTGATGGGCTAAACAAGGCTTCCCTGCCAGGTGTACTTTTTTATGAAATAAATCATCACAGGAGCATTTCAAGAAAAAACAAAATTAAGACACTTACAAGTACTGGGTGCAGACAAAAGAGAAATAAATACTCTGGGACTAGAACATAAAACAGGAAATCCAGCCAGGAAAATAACAGTTAGGTAACAGGCCTTACAAAGCAGATAAAGGAAAGAAAATAACATATGTACGTTGTCATGATATCAAATTTCCCACAATCCAACTACTTCCATTCTTTTGCATCCAGAATCATTAGTGCAAAATTTTGTGATTTAGAAATGGGAGCTGAAGTGGAAATCATGCTGAAAACTGAATTGCACTGGAAAACGTCCCTGTCCAACTGAGCACTAAATATTTCTACCTCAGAGGAGAAAAAAGCCTTAATCAAGGCTAGTCCCAAGCCCACAAACTTTCAATCCTCTCTGCTCAAAGGCAGCAAACACCAGTAATTCAACCCACATGAACCCAAGCTGAAGCACTTTTCCTGCCTGTGCCCAAAAAGAAGAATGACAGGACAAGAAAGCGCTGACACAAAGGGCTGATTTTTGGTTCACCACAATCTGTACCACTGCCACATGGAGGCTTCCCCCCATCACCCTCACAGCACCACAGAAACACCATCAGGACAGAATGAGGCCAGCCAGGCCAGCTGAGGCCAGGAAAGCCAAGCTGTAAAAGCAGCAGCAGCTGCACACTCAGCCCCCAGGCAGGCTTGCTGGCCCAGGCAGGGCAGCGCTGAGCCCCCAGCAGCTCCCATGTGTGCTCCCAGGGCTGCACAGCAGGACACAGGGTACCTCGGGATGACAGTGCAGTCTGCAGGAAACTCCCCCGTGGTTTGGAGCACAGGGTCTCTCTGGACACATTTTCTGGATAGTCACCATCCCCTTGAAGGACATGCTGATATTTTGATCCCAGATGGATGCGTTCCGCTCCTCCAGCTCATTAATGCCAATCTTTTCTACAATAAATAAGCTGGGAAGCTGGTCTTCTCTGGCCTCTCCTGGATGATTTATGTCATGGGCTTGCAATAAGGCATGCTGAAGTTTCTCTGACCTAGATTCACTCCAACGTTGTAACTAGTTTGGTGACTTCTTTCCAGTCTTTCAAATCCATTATTCAGCAAGCTGGTGCTGATGATGCACTTTCAGCCAGGTTGCTTTCATCTTTCATTTTATTAAATGCAAATTGGATTTGAAAATGAAGGCGGACACTGCTGTAATCACACTGGCAGGTAACAGTGTTACTCAGCTGTCAACAGAATTCAGCCTAAATAGATCATGGCACAAGAAAGAAATTGTATCAATGACTTTGCTTTGCTTGTATTTAAATATTACATCAAATCTATACTGTCACAGGGGACAAAAAAGTGAACACAAGTTGCAAACATAGCATTCATGCTATATCCTTTCTCTTTTCCCTTCCTTCTGCTCCTTAGCTAATCCAAGGGGAGTTATTACAGCATGAAATTTGTGCATTGTTTGCCAAAAAGGTAGCAGGATAATAATAAACCAGACAGCACCAAAGCCAAGGGTTCCACTTTCTATTACTGGTTTAGATAACCTAATTAATTAAAATATCAAGAGCATGTTTTACACATGAATACTCTTGAGTTCCAGAAAGCTAAAAGTAAATCAATATAAAACACTAGGTACAGATATACACTGCTAACATTGATTTGGTTTCCTATATGTTATTTGTAATAAGTAACATTATGGTCTGCTTTTGTAAAAGTGACTAATGAAAATTCATCAATGGCATTAACCCTTTCTGAACCCTTATGTAAAATATGATTCAGCTGTGGCACAATAAAAAATATCAATGAGTGTTAACAAGATTCCACCAATTAATTTGATGAGGCCCCATTCATGAGTTGGACTGTGTTAATTTTCCCTATCTTTGCTACCATTTTATTGTTCTTTACTATTGGCATGAAAATATTCTGAGGCTTTCATTTGAGGGTGTAGTATATAGTAGTGATGTTCAACTGTATGTTTTTGAAATGGGGCAATTATTCCCTACAAGGAGGGAGGAAATGGAACTACAGTGCCCTCAAAGAACAGAACAAATACTCTGAAATATCTCTGCACAGAACACAGATGGAAGAACTCTGTATTTTCTTCAAGTGGGGATATTTTATTAACAAGTGGCAATGTCATAAGAAGGTGGGAAGGTTAAACATCTGGCCTGAGGTCTGGCAAGATTCCCCCAAAGCTTTGGGCATGTCATCAGAATAGTTCCTGACATGTCTCATTTATTCTGTTGCAAGCACCAAAGTCTGCTGTCAATGTCTGTCTCACTTTGAATGCAGCAAGCAGCTTTATCACCCACTACAGAGCTATAATTTTGTGTGCCCACCACTTACTACAAATGCTCTCAGAAATGGAAATGAGCAAGTGGGAGAAGTACTTAACATTCTGCCACCCTTCCAGTGCAATGAAAAAGCAGAAGGGAATTATCTGTTGGTGCAGTCAGAAAGGGGACTCAGACTCTGGACTCACTCCTGGCCAAGACACAAAACCCAGCAGCACAGTCCATTCACAACAAGCTCCCCCCATTCCCAAAGGGTGTCAGAGGTGGCTGCTGCCCTAAGCAGGGTCATTGATTCCTCATTCCTCTGCACAGTTTCCCTCAGAAAACAAAAATCATGTTTCTCCATCTCCTGGGGAAAACTTCAGCTAGATATAAAAAAGTCACAAAGCCAAGTTGTGCAAATTGACCTAGGAGTCACATACCTTTACCCCTCCAAAAGCTGAAGAAGTGTGTCAAAATGGCCCCTCAAGTCATCACATATGCCTGTGCCAAGTGCCAAGCAATCCAGGTATTTTGCAACTGTAGGATCTTGATTGTTACAGGGGTAAAGAAAGAAATCAATCAACTTTGTATATATGCATATCTATTTCAATATTTGTGTTTTCATCTAAAGAAAAATCTTATTTATTTTAACCAATTCTAATCTGAATTTCCTAAGGGTTCCCTTATTTTTATTCCTACCTAGACCATTCAAGAAGATATGAAAATGTTCTGTGTACACAAATTATATACATATATCCAGAGCATTGCAATGGCTCTGTACAATCCTACATGGCTCTGTACTCCATCTCTAACTGAGAGCCTCAGCAATTCAGCATTACAAGAAAAATCACAATATCTCTCATAAGTATTCTATACTTGTGTAATGTGACAGGTAGATGCAAGAAATATTTCTGGTTTTTTCCAAAAAATAAAAATTCTTAAATACATTGAAATGCCTCACTCACTCAGCTCACAACCCCTCTAGTGTGTCAGGGACTTTTGCACATGGGCTGGGCTCTGACCCCCCAGCTGTACCTGCTCTCCCGACTGATGCGAGCAGACCGAGGGCTCTGCTGGGATTCGGATCAGGAGCCTGCAGCAGAGGGCACTGTGAAAGCACCAGAGCTGCAGCCCTGCACAGAAAGAGCTGGAAAGGGAGAAGGGGAGAAGGGACATCCCCCCCAGGGCACACTTGTGCCATTCTCTCTGGTGCTGCTCTCATTTCCCCTGCCGGACAGGTGATGGTGGTCCCTCTGAGCAGGTGTCCAGGAGCCAGTCTGTTTGATCACACCATGCTCAGAACAGCAAGGCCAAGTGAGCCTTTTCTGAAAAGCTGCTGTTGATGAAATCCCTCCCAGGTGAGGTCTCTCCTGGGCTGGTTCCTGGTCTCTCCAGGCCAGGCAGTGTGAGCACTGCAGAGGGGATGGGCAGAGCGCTGTAAAGCTGCGACTCTGGCAGCTGGTACACGCTCTACCAGGGACTGACACGTGCCTGAACAACCCACGGGTGTGCCTGGTCCATAAAATCTGTTTGGGACTTTGCTGGCTTAACTTTCAAATGTTCCTGGGAGAGACAATGCCATTAAAATAGGGGGTTTATGATCAGTCATTTTCATTTGGAAGCTGAAGGCACTGTTCTGCTTTTATACTCTGTACTGTCAGATATTCCCAAACACCCTACAAAGAGGCTAAGCCTGCAGAGCTGAGATAGAGAATATTTACAGCAGTGCTCAGCAGCCAGCATCTCTGAATCTATCAACAGCTCCTTGCAGGAGGAATCAACCTTGTCTATCCCCATCTGCACAAGTACTTGAAAGAATAATTTCAGAAAGCAAATGAACCATTGCAGAGCCATTAAAAGAATTAAATAATCCATAAGTAGCAGTAAAACAGTACAATAAGGAACACTTAACATTATTAGAAAAGTCAGTTGTGTGTGGACAAAGGCTGGCTGACAAATGAGAAAAATATTTGTTCACTGTGAGTGATCTGCAGCAGACCTACAGCCAATGGTACCAGATGGTGGGGCTGGTTTTTTGTAAACACACCTCTTCTAGAACCAAAAAAGCCTGGTTAATCGACCATGGATCATGGTCCCATAAACTAAGCAAAGCTGTGCCTGCCCAGCACCACTGGCAGATGGTTCCCATTAGGAAAGCAGTAAAGAAAAGTTCCTGGGTTCTTTGGGAAGCATCTGGATTCACTGGGAAGCACACGAAAAAAAAAGGAAATTGAGTCATTCTGAATAGGTCAGGTAATACAGAGAAGACCTTATTCAAGTTTCCATGTCTGTGTTGGATAATACATTTCATTTAAATGGACAGTGTTCCTTTCACTTCACCATTTTTGTTCTGTCAAGAACACGGGGATACAGAACTAAAGAGGAGGGCAGCTGAGAACTCTATCTCACACAGAGTGGGTTTATAATATGATAACCATGAAAAGAATGTTAATTCTCAGTTTGAATTCTTATTTGACAATAAGTAATTGCATTCTTAATTCTAGCACTGTGATGGTATTTAATCCATGGATTTCAAAAAGCTTTTATACGACATAGAGGATGAAAGAAATTTCCAAAGCAAATAGGCATAAAATATTCATCAAGGGAAAACTCAGACTCTAGTCAATCTACAAGAGCCTTCCCAGCCCATGGAACATCTTACTTTGTTTATTGGCATGGGATCACAGCTAATCCTCCTGTATGTCACTTGAGGATTAATGATCCAATTAATGACCAGCAGCAGAGCAGGTCCATTTGTTACAGCAAATCAGAACCAATTTCTAATTTTGACACTCTGGAGGGAAGGGATGCCATCCAGAGGGCCCTTGACAATCTGGAGAGGTGGGCCTGTACAACCTTCAAGAAGTTCAGCAAGTGCAAGGTGCTGCATCTGGGTCAGGGCAATCCCAAGCCCAAACACAGGTGGGGCAGACAATGGGCCTTGGGAGAAGAACTTGGGGTTATTTGGAGATGAGAAACTCCACATGATCCATCAGTGTGCATTTGCAGCCCAGAGAGCCAGCTGTGGCCAGGGCTGCACCAAAGGCAGTGTGGGCAGCAGGCTGAGGGAGCGGATTCTACCTCTCTGCCCCGCCCTCGTGAGACCCCACCTGGAGCCCCAGCATAAGGAGTGAGTGCAGAGGAGTTCACAAAGATGTTCAGAGGGCCAGAACACTTCTCCTGGGAACAGGGGTTGAGAGCTGGGGTTGTTCAGCCCAGAGAAGAGACTTTAACATTGTCACGCTATATTAGGAGTGGTGAGAAGCACGACACTGACTCTCTTAGTTGTGTTGTCCAAGAGAGCTCCAAGAGAGCAAGTTTTATTACTGTAGTTTTTCTTCTATAGACATGTTCAAGAAGGTCTGAGAGGTAAAACTCTCATTGGTCATTAAACTTACACATCACTATCACTGGTCAAGTGAAACACCATCCCTTGACTCTTCCCTGAAACTAAACAACAAGGATCCTAAACAACTCCCGCAAAGATTGTTTCACCAAGGACTGCTTGGATTCTTTCTTATGCTTTCTCAGGCCAGAGTGAAAAGACTGTGTGACTTAGTTTCACACAGACACTGTGCTCCCTGTTTGCTTCTTGCATTTGGCATCCACATAACATCACTGAAGAGACCCTAACATCAGTTTCTAAGTTCATAAAGGGGACACAAGAGAGCTGGAAAGGGATTTTTCACCAGGACCTGTAGTGATGGTGAATGCTTTAAACTGAAAGAGTAGGTTTAGAGATTAGAAGGAAATTCATTACTGTGAGGGTGATGAGGCACTGTAATTGTTTGCCCAGAGAAGCTCTGGATGCCCTAGCCCTGGAATTGTTCAAAGCCAGGTTGGATAGGGCTTTGAGCAACCTAATAGTGAAAGGCATCCCTTTCCATGGCAGGGAGGTTGGAGCTAGGTGACCTTTAATGTCCCTTCCAGCCCAAATCATATCTCAGGTACATAAAAAAATTTCTGGAAATATTTTTTTCCTATGCTCACAGAAAATAAACTTTCTCTGACCACAAGATGGCCCTCATGGTATATTGTCTGTGCTCTGGTATACACTATCCTTGCCTTATTCACCACATATAGCTTGCAATATTCTAGTTCCACTTTATTTGGGCACATAGATAATCTATTTCTCCCTGCTACCTTCTGTTAGCAAAAGACAGAGGAGAATTCCTGTATCTGTCAGATGAATTCACAGGCTCTGGGGCAGTCAGGCCAAGTTTGTGGCTGTGCTGTCCCAACACCCCGGGCCCAGCAGAGCCACAAGCACATGCTGCTGCTCCTCACTGCAGCCTCCACATGGCCACACATCCCCCAGTGTAGCCACTGCACACCCATGGCCACGGGGAGAGACATCTGGAGTCCTTTCCCCATCACAAGGGCTGGCTGCTGCCAGGTCAGACACCAGGTAAGCAGAGCTCCTCCTTGTTCTCCCATCATGAGGTTTTTTATCTCTTGCTTGTCATTGTTTTCCCAAGAATTCTTGGCATTGCTTCTGCAGGCATATTTGACCTGGCATTGTTTCATCTGTGTTTTCTCCCCAAAAGCCACATGATCGGGCACAGTGACATCAAGCAAGGAAACTGAATTATTTCTTTCAGTCTCTGGCTTCCATGGGACCCTCTGCAGCCTCCAACTGTATCAAGGATACAGGGATAGCTCTTTTTAAGGTTTCTGCTGGTCTGGAATTGGGGACTTTCCATAAGAGAATTTCCTGAAAGGTGAGATCAAGATGACTCAAAGCAGGCCAAGGAATTAACTATATAGACTCCCGCCTAGAAACCTTCTGGTTTCCAGACTGGAAATGTTCAAAACTGTAAAATGCTACAAGGAGTGCCAGCAGGATGAGGGACAGCTCTGTCTCAGCCCAGGTGAGCTGGGATAATTTCAGGATGAAGTGATGCTGATTTAGTAAAGCGTAGGGATATCCCAGAATAGGACAGGGTACCAATCACACTTCATATGTGTCTCTTGAACAAAAGAGTACCAGCAATTTTTGTTTAACATATTAGTCAGGTATGCCTATTTCCATAAGCATCCAGTGCTCCAAAATGGTGACAACCAGAACAGTTGAGAAAAAAGAAAGAAACCATTATAAATTTCATTAGAGAATGTTTTGTTGTTTCTAATTCCACATTGTGGGGACAATCTTTAGGGCTTCTCTGCTTCACATGGCAAGAAAAGAAACTGCAGGTCTTTCCATCCTTTCTAGAAATGGACTTGAGTGCTGAGGATTTTGGGATAACAAACCTGCCAGGTTCACCCTCTCCAACTTCAGTCTGTCACTTCTCTCTGATCCGTGCTGTAGCTAAAACATAGATAATTCAGCCTGTAATGGTTATCTTTGCCCCCATATTTGTTACCAACATCTGCGTGGCTGATTTGATGATCATAAATCATCCAGTACAATGAAAAGCTTATGTGAGGTATAAGAAAACAGCAGTTCTTTAAAGGATGAGAAATGCATCCTTGAGCAGTTCCAGAAAACTTAGCAGGAGTATTGAAGACACACTGAAACTATTAGTTCTTGATTATCACCCCAACAT